GTAAGAGGAGTAAGAAAAAGAGAAAGGAGAAAGAATATTATGAAGTGTAGAGAAAGAAGAGAGGAAAAAGAAGGGAAGAGTAAGAAAAAAGGAGAAAGAGTAAAAGGAATAAAGAAAGGAAATGAGAAAGAAGAGAAATGGAGGAGATGAAGAAGAAAAGGAAAGAGAAGAAGAAAAGAAAATGAGGAAAAGAATGAGAGGGAGCTGGTTATATATAGGTTTTTTATGGACCGAAACCGGTCTGAATATACCAACTAAGTGCCACATTACCGCCAGCAGATAGCTTCAATTTTGCTGAAAATTTAGGCGGCAAACATTTTCAGACCGACATCAGTCCGTAAATTACCAAAAAGTTTAATTCACAGCGAAATTTTGGCGGCAAAATATACGGACCGAAAACGGTCCGTAAATAAATAATGAAGTGCCAATCTTAAAAAGTTTAATTTTCGGTGAAATTTTCAAAACGAAAAACCTAATTGGTTATATTCAGACCAGTATCAGTCTGTATAATAAGTAAACCTTTGTTAATTATAAAGATGAATTAAGTTACGTATTTTATATGCCTCACACTTTTTCAGACTGTTGTTGGTCTGAATATATTGCAAAAAATCCAAAAACTTCTCCCTATGCACCTTTTTATTCTTTTCATTTAAGGACATCACCATCTTCTCGTGCCCCAAATTCGTTCTTACGAAAACCAATTGCGTGAACATCGACACTACAGTCTCCTGGAACCTCAGAACCATCGATTCCTTGCCTGAAATTATCTAATGTTGACGCGGGATAGAATCGTTGTAAAACCTTGAATGTATTAGTATAAGGTTATTAGATATAAGGTTACGTAATGTTCTTTCGGAGTCACAAGCAAGTAAAATTGATTTTTTTGGGTAAGGTTAACCACTTTGGCACGCAAACATTCGGAATGTTATGGTTGAAAACGAGACTATAACGAATTGAGCATGAAATAAGGAAAACAATGAAAAAACTGTAGGTGGGTAAAGATTGGGACTAAACCCGGTCCGTATATTGATATACGGACCGGTATCGATCCATATATATGTCTGTATTTTTTTTTAAATTACAAAGATAAATTAAATTCGGTGTAAAGATATATGCGGACCAATTTTGGCCAGAATATAGGCACAGAATCTAGAAACTTCCACGCTTTTGATTTTTCAGACCATTTTTTATCCGAATATGTTGCAAAAAATCCAAAAACTTCTCCCTGTACACCTTTTTATTCTTTTCATTTAAGGACATCATCATCTTCCCGTGCCCCAAATCCGTTCTTACAAAAACCTATTGCGTGAACATCGACATTACAGTTTCCTGGAACCCCAGAACCATCGATTCTTTGCTTGAAATCATCTAACGTTGACGCGGGATAGAGTTGTTGTAAAACTTTGAATGTGTAAGTATAAAGTTATTAGATATAAGGTTGCGTAATGTTCTTTCGGAGCCACAAGCAAGTAAAATTGATTTTTTTGGGTAAGGTTAACCACTTTGTCATGCAAAGTTTCGGAATGTTATGGTTGAAAACAAGAGTATAACGAATTGAGCATGAGATAAGGAAAATAATGAAAAAGTTGCAGGTGGGTATATATTGGGATCAAACCTGGTCCATATAATGATATATGGACCGATATCGGTCCGTATATATGTCTGTATGGTTTTTTTTTTTTTAATTATAAAGATAAATTAAATTCGGTGTAAAGATATATATGGATCGATTTTGGTCGGAATATAGGCATAGAATCTAGAAGCTTCCACGCTTTTGATTTTTCAGACCGTTTTTGGTCTGAATATGTTGCGAAAAATCCAGAAACTTCTCCCTGTGCACCTTTTTATTCTTTTCATTTAAGAACATCACCATCTTCCCGTGCCCCAAATCCGTTCTTACGAAAACCAATTGCGTGAACATTGACACTACAATCTCTTGGAACCCCGGAACCATCGATTCTTTGCCTGAAATTATCTAACGTTGATGCGGGATAGAATTGTTATAAAACCTTGAATGTATAAGTATAAGGTTATTAGATATAAGGTTACGTAATGTTCTTTCGAAGCCACAAGCAAGTCAAATTGATTTTTTGGGTAAGGTTAACCACTTTGGCACGCAAACATTCAGAATGTTATGGTTGAAACCGAGAGTATAACGAATTGAGCATGAGATAAGGAAAACAATGAAAAAGCTACAGGTGGGCATATATTGGGACCAAACCAGGTCCGTATAATGATATACGGACCGGTATCTGTCGTATATATGTCTGTATGATTTTTTTTTTTTAATTATAAAGATAAATTAAATTCGGTGTAAAGATATATACGAATCGATTTTGGTCGGAATATAGACACAGAATCTAGAAGCTTCCACACTTTTGATTTTTCAGACTGTTTTTGGTCCGAATATGTTGCAAAAAATCCAGAAACTTCTCCCTGTGCACCTTTTTATTCTTTTCATTTAAGGACATCACCATTTTCCCGTACCCCAAATCCATTCTTATGAAAATCAATTGCGTGAACATCAACACAGTCTCCTGGAACACCAAAACCATCGATTGTTTGCCTGAAATTATCTAATGATGATGCAGGATAGAATTGTTGTAAAACCTTGAATGTATAAGTATAAGATTATTAGATATAAGGTTACGTAATGTTCTTTCGGAGTCACAAGCAAGTAAAATTGATTTTTTTTGGGTAAGATTAACCACTTTGGCACACAGACATTCGGAATGTTATAGTTGAAAACAAGAGTATAACGAATTGAGCATGAGATAAGGAAAACAATGAAAAAGCTGCAGGTGGGTATATATTGGGACCAAACTCAGTCCGTATAATGATATACGGACTAGTATCGGTCTGTATATATGTCTGTATGGTTTTTTTTTTTTAATTATAAAGATAAATTAAATTCGGTGTAAAGATATATATGGATCGATTTTGATCGAAAATAGGCACACAATCTAGTAGCTTCCTCGCTTTTGATTTTTCAGACTGTTTTTTGTCCGAATATGTTGCAAAAAATCCAGAAACTTCTTCCTGCGCACCTTTTTATTCTTTTCATTTAAGGACATCACCATCTTTCCGTGCCCCAGATTCATTCTTACAAAAACCAATTGCGTGAACATCGACACTATAGTCTCCTGAAATCTCGAAACCATCGATTCCTTGCCTGAAATTATCTAACGATGACGCGGGATAGAATCGTTGTAAAACCTTGAATGTGTAAGTATAAGGCTATTAGATATAAGGTTACGTAATGTTCTTTCGGAGTCACAAGTAAGTAAAATTGATTTTTTTGGGTAAGGTTAACCATTTTGGCACGCAAACATTCGGAGTGATATGGTTGAAAACGAGAGTATAATGAATTGAGCATGAGAGATAAGGAAAACAATGAAAAAGCTACAGGTGGGTATATATTGGGATCAAACCCGGTCCGTATAATGATGTACAGACCGGTATTGGTCTGTATATATGTTTATATGGTTTTTTTTTAATTATAAAGATAAATTAAATTCGGTATAAATATATATGGATCGATTTTGGTTAGAACATAGGCATAGAATCTAGAAGCTTCCACGCTTTTGACTTTTCAGACCGTTTTTGGGCCGAATAAAATCTAGAAACTTCTTCCTGTGCACCTTTTATTCTTTTCATTGCACCTTTTTATTCTTTTCATTTGAAGACATCACCATCTTTCCGTGCCCCAAATCTGTTCTTACGAAAACCAATTGCGTAAACATCGGCATTATAGTTTCCTGGAACCTCGGAACCATCGATTCCTTGCCTGAAATTATCTAACGTTGACGTGGGATAGAATCATTGTAAAACCTTGCATGTATAAGTGTAAGGTTATTAGATATAAGGTTACGTAATGTTCTTTCGGAGCCACAAGCAAGTAAAATTGATTTTTTTGGATAAGGTTAACCACTTTGGCATGCAAACATTCGTAATGTTATGGTTGAAAACGAGAGTATAACGAATTAAGCATGAGATAAGGAAAACAATGAAAAAGCTGCAGGTGGGTATATATTGGGACCAAACCCGATTCTTATAATGATATACGGACCGATATCGGTCCGCATATACGTCTGTATATATTAACGAAGATATATACAGATCAATAACAGTTCGTATATACCACTGAGGCTCGACGTTGGGTTTCCATGTTTATACGGATCGATACCGGTCCGTATATATTAACAGTTATATATACAGACCGATATCGGTCCGTATATACTTATTTGGGTTGAGTCGACTGAGGAATCGACTGAGGAATGAAAGCCGACTGGTGCTACACTGCCTCAAACATTCTGTTTTTTAGACTGAGCTAGCTGTAAAAATTTTGCAGCTGGCTTAACTGGCCTTGATTTTTTACAAGTTATATACGGACTGGTATTGGTCCGTATATACTTGTTTGAATCAAGTGAGCCGGCTAGGGAATGAAAGCCAACTGGTGCTGGATTGCTTCGACATTCTGTTTTTTTGACTGAGCTGGCTGTGGGTATTTTGCAGCCGGCTTTGTTGGTTTTGATATATACGGACCGGCATCAGTCCGTATATGCTTGTTTGGGCCACCAGACACTCGGCCATTTGTGTTTTTATTACGATTGTTATACTAATTGAAACCGATCTATGTATAAGTGTTTCATTTAATTCGATATTTCTTACATATAAAGGATTTAATTGATATTTAAATTAATATATTTGATAATGTAAAATTATTTTCACATAATTTATGATATTTATCATATAAAATGCTAGAAAATTTTGTTAATTTACTCTAAATATGTCTCCAATGTCTACTACAAATATAAAGTAAATACAAATATTTAATTGAAATATAAAACACCTAAATATCTCGGGGTGTCTTAGGGGTGACTGTCCCACTGGTATCCGCTGGAGTCATCCCTAAATGCTGGTAGAGTTGCTGTATCTGTGCAACAAGGGTCAACTATTGCTGCCGTAGGTTCTCATTATCTGCTATAAGGGTCATTTGTGATTGTCGAAGGCTATTATTATCTACCTTCAATGGTTCCCGCGTAGATGTGCTCACACCTATATCCTATGGATGTGTGTGAATATCCAAACCTTTCAGCCATCCTTTCTTCACCCCACTAGTTGCCCTAAGTAAAAACTCACCATGAGCTATTGTAGGGTCAAATCTTTCTTCCTCTTGCCTAGCAGCATATTCAGCTGTTAATTTTTCCTGAAATAATATAAGACAAAATAAATAATTAATTGTATTGAAAATTAAAGTGAAATTAAAAATATCACTTTAGGCACCTAAATTCAATTTACTCTCCCCTAAAAAGATGGAGTTCTAACTTTTTACCAATAACTATATTATACAATAATTTCAATATTATAACCAAAATAATTTCAATTAATTCATGACACAATTTAAAATAAAATTGTTAAGTTAAATACTTACTCCAATTTCTTGAGCCTCATCATTACAATATATAGGCAGTTGGTCTTTTCCTTTTCCTTTGTGCTGCCTTCTACTGGTGTAGACCTCAGGAAATGTCGGTAGACGACCCTCGAGGTTTGCTTGTTGCTGTAAAGAAAAAAAAAGAAGAGAAAATATTAAAATCAATATAAAATAAATTATAAATCATAATTCATTAATTATTCATTAAAAATATGTTAACTTTTATACCATTTTCTTTTTATAAACATTAACGTCTATTGAACCGCTGGTATGCGTCACCCTCGGTCCTTTTGCTTGATTAGCCTTTGCAGAACTTGACCTTCTCAAATGACCCTCGTCTTGTAAAAGTGGTGAACACATATTTTCTTAATAAATAATATGATAAAAACATTAAACATTGCAATTCAAAATTAAAAAATAAATAATAATAAACACATGAATTTACTCCATTACCTCAGTCCGTAAATAAACAAGCCTTGCCCATAACTCTGGATTCATATCTGGAGGCTTAACTTAAAAGTTTCTCTTTGCACACTTAGCTTTCAACTCACTAAGTGCATGCTTGAACTTGATCTTTGCTGTCACGCTCCATAAATCATTTACAATCTTATCAATCGCAGGATCCCATTCATATGTTTGCTGAAAATAATAGAAATATAAATAAATAAATAATTTAATAACAAAAATCTTAATGATAATAACAAAAAGGTTAAATGCTAAATTTGGTCCCTCAACTTTAGTGAGTTGCACATTTTTGGTCCCTCAACAATTTTTTGCACTTTTTTGATCCCTCAACTATACGAAATGCACTCCGTTAATTTGGGCCGTTAACTCTGCTTATGTGGCATTTTTTATATTTTTTTTGATGATGTGGAGAGCAAAATTTAAAAAAGTGATGATGTGCACAAAAACTTTTGCCATGTCATGCTACCGTGGCCAAAACGCGCCAAATCCGTCCAAATGGGTCCCATATCACCACTAAGAATTGCTTCTTTGCCCATTGATTACTATTTCTGTTCTTTCCATCACCGATGTTCTTTCCATTTTTAAGATTGAAATCATTTAGACAATACTTAAAAAATATGAAGAAAAAAATCCCAAAAATCACTCACCATAACCTGCAATTTAGATACTCTCTTGATAAACAAACATATAACAAAAAAAAAAAAAAAGTAGAGCTGGGTTCGCCGGAACCCAACTTGGGTTCCAC